CTGCAAATAAATAAATAAATAAATAAGTAAATAAAAAGAGTTGGTCATTCCTGTTTGTGTCTGAGATATAGGCCCTGGGAATCCTGTTCTAAACAGTACCAGCAAATGTTTCAGCATTATTACCTATCTGCCCTTCAGTCATTGATTTTTTTTTTCTTAATTCCCAGGTATGTCTTTTGTGTTGTGTTGTGTTGTGTTGTTTTGTTTTGTTTTGTTTTGAGATAGTCTTGCTGTGTTGCCCTAACTGGCCTCTAGTTCCTAAGCTCAAGTGATCCTCTTGCCTGGGTTGGCCTCCTGAATAGCTAGGATGACAGGTGCATGTCACTGCACCTGGCCCTTTAACAACAGTGTGTCTATAGACTTGGATTTGACTCACAGTAGTCACAGGTCCCCTTTCCAGTGTCCATTAGATAAAACTAATGAGTTCTTTTTCAGTAGACATGGACCCCAAATGCTCAGCTCATTTTTTGAAATCCTCAAATCTGAAATATGAAAACTTGAATTTACCCCAAATATTGAGAGTATAGTTTTTGTTTTTACAAGAGCTGCTTTATTGAACCAAAGAGTTTACAGATAGACTTCCTTTTCATTGCAAACTTCTCCAGTGTTTTTTAAATTACTGGATTTTCAAAATATATATTTATACAAAGCTTCTTCAGTTGTCTTCTACTGTGTAAATACAGTAAAAACTGTATTTACTGTGTAAATACAGTTGAAAACATAAGTGGTGAAGCCCACCAAGGCATTAAAAATGCAGCAATGTCTTTTTAATATATGAAACTTTTTTCCCTGAGATATAACTTGTGTGGTACATTTTTGCATGCTTCTTCCTGTTACTGTGTAGGTTTTCAAGGGTTAGAATAGTGATGGTGAACCTTTAGAGCTTTCAATGATACAAATAGCCTCCTGGGGCATGCATGTCATACGATTTACCACGAGTGGACTAGGATCTTGCCTTTCCCCACTTCCCGTAACTCTTTGTGCTATAATTTGACAATAAAAAGAATCTAGTGACCATTGCTGTTTTTCTAAGATTGTGACCCTGAGTCATGGGACAGTAGTACGTAAGCTTCCTAAAAGAGTGTAGGTTAGGGGCTGTCATCTAGAGGATTTCACTCATTTGTTCTTACTTACTAAATAACCTGCCTAATCTTTAGCTTTTAGAAATAACCCCCCAGGTGCAATTTAACATTCTATGCTATGTTTAACAATAGGCAGTTTATTCTTCTTTCTAAATACTGAGCTAGTCTTGGATGAGTCTATGTGGCAGTGTCTTGAGAGAGTTAGGCAAAGTAACTCAAAAAATGTGAACAGGTTCTATAAAATGCAGACTGTGTATTTATTTTGCCTGGCGTATCTTTTGCATATAACCAGAGAACAAGTACAGGATTTCCTGAGGGAACTGGGTTTGGTGGTGCCGGCCTATAATCCCAGCACTCAGGAGGCTGAGGCAGGAGGATTGTCCTGAGTTCGAGGCCAGCCTTGGCTCCATAAGTGAGTTCAGTGCCAGCCTGCAGTGCATAGTGAAACCCTGTCTCAAAAAAGAAAGCATTTCCTAAAAGAAACATGGAGATTTTTTTCTTTCCTTGAACAAAGAGGCCCATACGCAGTGGGTCAGGAAGAAAATCAAGCTCATTTTATTAGAACCTTCTACAATCTTTTGTAGAAAAAATTTAAACCTGTATATTGTCATTGTTCATGATATAAAAATAATAGTGATGGTTGCTTTGTAGAGATTATACTTTCATCCAAATATTTGTTTTTTAAAGAGTTATAGGGGCTGGGGATTTACCTCAGCGGCACAGCACCTGCCTGGCAAGCATGAGGTTGTGAGTTCGATTCCCAGTACCGGAAAAAAAAAAAAAACCAAAAGAAAAAAAAAAGGATTATACCACTTTACTCTTTTAGTAAATAGTTCCAATTATTCTGAGTACCTTAGCAGACAATTTAACAAAGCCTTGAGTCATAGGAACTTGAGATATATCAATAAAGAAAACCAAAAGTTTATGTTCTAATGCAGGAATCAGTAACTCTTTTCTATAAAGAAACAGCTAGCAAGTATTTTAGATTTTGAATCCAGTCATGTTCTGATAAAACTGTTTACAAAATAACTGGCTGGATTTGGCCCAGGGCGCCTAATCTCCTAACCTTTGTTCTAGTAAATGAATGTTGACTTAATAAGTAAATTAGAGTATGGTAAGTGATAAATTCTTTAGGAAAGGAGAAATAAAACAAAGTTCATAAGCAAATACGGAGTTTGATGAGGTGTAGGCGTTGGGAGGGTGAGCCTCAGTAAGTGAAGAACAACAGAAATCTGCAAAGAAGACTGAAAAATGAGTGGTAAGATAAAAAAAAAAGATAGCACTGTTCTAGAAATACAATGAAGAACCGTATATTGGGATTAAAAAAAGTGTCAGATATTGATGGGCCAAGTAAGAAGACTAAGACCATTGGATTTAGATATGTAGAGGTTATTCATGATGTCCGTGAGCAGATATGTAGAGGTTATTTGTGATGTCTGTGAACAGTTTTGGTGGACAGAGTTCAAGAGAATTAAAATAAACATAGACAGTTCTTTTTAGGAATTTTTATTTAGAAGCAACCAAGAAATGGAGTTGTGGAATGACAAAAATCAAGAGAAGAGCTTTTTCGTTTGTTGTGTTTTTTAAGATAGAAGAAATAATAGCTTGCTTATTTGGAAATAAACCAGTAAAGAGTAGGGGAAAATGATATGGGAGAGTGGGAGAAAATTACTGGAGCTCTATGGCTTTGGGTTGGTGAAGGGATGAGGTCTAGTCTACAAGTGAAGGGATTGACATTAGATATGTGGAATTTTGGTAGCTAGGTAGGCAGTCTGTAAACATTCTCTTGTGGCTTCAATTTTCTGATTAAAAAATTGTCAAAGAATATAAACGTTGAAATGCAGAAGTTTTATACTGTGTATAGTAGTACCTTGGTTCACAAACACTTCTGCTTTCAATTTGGTTCACAGACAAAAGTGTTCAGCAGAATTTTGCTTCCATTCACAAACTCCACATATGTGACAAATACAACCACATCCATGTTCCCCACACAAGTACAAATGCAGCCATCTTCCCAAAAGTCATAAAACAAATTAAGTTCATAAATAAAGTTACCACTGTACTTATACTCTAGTACCAGCATTTGAGGGACCTTTGACAACTAAAGTTTGGTTTTTGTTTTGTTTTCTTCTACTTTCTGAGGGAGTTATAAAGTGAACCCAGTAAATTTGAGTATTTTCAGAGTTAAACCGTACATTATGAGATCAAATAATGATGCATGTAAGGTCCGGTGTCATGTAAGATAGTAAAGAAATGCTAACTGTAATTAGAGGATATAGAATCATTGGGCGCTAACTTAGGCTTTCTTCATGCCTTTAGTCCCAAAAGATACCTTAGCATAGTTTGAAATGTTACAGAAGTTGAAGTTTGCCAATATTAAGTAAATAGGCTATATTTAAATTGCAGGTCCTTCAGTACCTCGCCTATGTTCTCTTTACTTCACAACATATAGTCTCTTTTTACATTAACCAGTGATATCACTGGCTCCAGAATCAGCAGGGAGTCTTGATCAAGGGTTCCCTAGGATGCTTTGTTCTCATATGTTTAATTATTTTACCATCAGATTGTTAATTTCTTTGTACAGTGACGATAACTGCTTTTGTGTATATCACTTTAGATTGTAAGCCCCTAGAAGGTAGGTAATAAGTCGTACATTTCTAAGAAAATATCTGAAATAATAGTTTATATAAAAAGAATGGGGCTAGGGATATGGCTTAGTGACACAGTGCCTGCCTGACAAGTGCAAGGTCCTGACTGTGATTCCTGGTACCAAAAAAAAAGATGTTCAATAAAAATAAAAATTATTAAACCAAAAGGTTTTATATTTAGTTCAACTTAGCTATCCAGTTCTTTGGCCTTTCTTTGAATAAACTCAGACTATTCCACTTTCCTAAAAAATTCTGTCACTAAATTACAGTATGTTGGATTGTTTCATGTGGTGGTGCATGCCTATAATCCTAACTCTGTGGAAACCTGAAGCAGGAGGATCATAAGTTTGAGCCGAGACCGGGAACCTTAGTGTCTTAGAGAGACCTTGTCTTAAAATTTAAAAATAAGTAAAAAGGAGTAGGGATGTAGCTCAGTATGAAGCCCCTGGTCAAGTTTTGTCCCCATTACTGAAAACAAATATATATTGGGCTTAATGGCAATTAATAGAATACCTTTAAAATAGTAAGCACATAACACAATCATAATTTGCATGTACATCTGTTGGAATGCCACAAAAACTACATAACATAATCACAATTATAAAAAGCTTGTTAGATAAGACTATAGCATAGTGAAAATCAAAGAAAAAAAATTGTGTAACTACAAGAAAATAACTTTGGCTACTATACTAGGATACACACTGTACCAAGACACACAATGAATGAAGTCAAAGACGTGATATTCTTGCCAAGTACATACTACAAAATATAATGGCTGCCAGAACTTTTTGAAAAGAGTAAGTTAAAATGACCCTTTCACTCTTCAATAGCCACTGAGATTGAGAGGGAAATGACAGGAGTATTTCCTGTATAAGAAGCAGCTGTACTTGAGGTTCTAATTATAGGTTCAATAATACAATTTGAAAAGTCTATTTCCTAGAATTCAGAAAGTAATATTTAGCTATTGATGCAAATGACAGAAATTCTATTTAATTGTTTTCCTCAAATTTAGAACAATTATTTTTAAAATATTAGAGCATCCAACTCTGTAAAAGAATTTTAGAGCTATAAAAAATATTGAACGGTGTTTTGTTTTGTTTGAGGCAGGGTTTTGCTATGTAGTCCAGGCTGTACTCAAACTGGTGGCAGTCCTCCTGCCTCAGCCTTCCAAGTGTTGAAATTACAGGCGTGCACCACCATGCCCGGCAGAACAAATCATTTTTAAAAATCCACTTTGTTTGAAACTTTACTTGTTTTCTTTGTGTTACAGGTCCAGTCGTTTACGTCTTGGATCTTGCAGATAGACTGATCTCAAAAGCTTGTCCATTTGCTGCAGCAGGGATAATGGTTGGCTCTATCTATTGGACAGCTGTGACTTATGGAGCAGTGACAGTGATGCAGGTTTACTATTTTACTCTGTTTAGTAATACTACTTTCGATGTGACGATCTATTAAATATTTTAGGAGTTAAATATCATGGCTTTAAAATAAAATATATTTAAACTATCTAACTGTGACCTATTCCTACGCTCTTCTTCAGGTAACCATCATAGCCACTGTTTGTTTTCTGGGTTTTATTGAGACAGGGTTTTGCTAATGTAGTTCAAGCTGTCCTTGAACTCACTGTGTAGCCTAGGCTGACCTCAAACTCTGAGATCCTCCTGCCTCAGCCTCCTGAGTGCTGAGATTACAGGCATGTGCCACTAGGCCTGGCACTGTATCCACTATTGTTAGCTTCATATATATTCTTCCACACTGACTATAATGTGTTTGTAAGAAAAAATAAATATTTTCCTCCACTATTTTTCCTTCCAAAGAAAACACCCCACTCCTGTACTGGGGATTGAACCGAAGGTCTTCTGCATGTTAGCCAGGTGCTCTACCAATGAGCTGCATCCCCAGCCCTATTTTGAGACAGTGTCCCACAAGATCTCCCAGGGTAGCTTTAGTAGTCCACTTGCCTCAGCTTCACAAGTACCTGAGACTAACAGGTGTGCGCTACCATACGCAACACAACCATCTTTTCTCATAGTGACTCTTGGAGATCTTTTAACAAAGTCACACAGAAATCTGCATGGAATTCTGTGTAAAGAATTACAGCAATATACTAACCAGTCTATTGGTGGCCAGTTATTTACTTCTAGTCTTACGTAGTTATGAACAATGCTAAAATCAGTAAGATTAAAGATTAAAGAGACTCAATTTCAGAATTTAGTCCTAAGCCCTCTTCTCTCTATATCTCTTCCTAAAGTATTTTTAGATATCTTCTGTGTTCGTTGGGTGTTCAGATCTGTATCTTTCACACTGTCCCTTCCTTAAATCCAGTTCTTTAATTGAAGCTTGACTCTTTAATGACGTATTATGATTTTTACACTCAGCATTGTTGAATCAAACTTCCCTTTGCTTCAGTTGCAAACTTACTCCCCATCATAATTTCTCTGTATCGTTTTTGGGACAATATCTCACTATGTAGTTCAGCCTAGAGTTGAACTCACTGTGTTGCCCACACTGGCCTCGAACTCAAGCAATCTTTTGCCACAGCCTCTTGAGTTCTAGGATTACAAGCACTTCCCACCACACGTGGCCACTTTCTGTGTTGATTTCTACTGTTTTCCCATCTAGTCAGTTTATATCCTACGTTCTTGAGATTACATTTGTTCTTTATTGTTCTTAGCCCCCTATCCAGTTCACTGACCAAGGTCAAGTAGTTTTCATTTTGATAGGTCTTGGATCCATGCCTCCCTTTCTGTAGTCTTTACTACTTGTTGGCCAGGCGTGGTGGCACGTTTGTAATCCCAGAACTCAGGAAGCTGAGGATTGCCATGAGTTCAAGGTCATCCTGGACTGCATAGTGAATTCAAGGGCAGCCTGAACTACCTAGTGAGACCCTGTCTCATAAAACCAAAAGAAAATAAAAAGCAGCACTTAGCCTCTAGATTGGTTAAGTATTTCATAAATAGTAGTATTTAACTCTTAGATTTATAGATGATATAATTTGCTTTTCTATAGTATAGTATGTGTGGAAGAAAAAAGAGTAGAGCCAGGAATGGTGGTGCACACCTGTAATCTCAGCACTTGGGAGGCTGGGGCAGGAGAATTGTGGCAAGTTTGAGGCCAGCCTGGCTTACATAGGGAGTTGGAGGCCAACTTGAACTATATAGGGTGATCCTGTCTCAAAAAAAAAAAAGGGAATAGAGGGTATAGAGCTAATATTCCAGAAATTGGATTAACCTATCTATAGTGAACCTTGCACATAGAGAGTATATACTCCACACTGAGCTTCATCCTCATCCCCAAGAAGGGGGTTTTTAGGCCATCTCCTAAAGGCCAGTCCAACCCTAGACAGGCTAGTCACCTCCTAGAGGGAAGAATAGAGATACAGATGTTCTTTTAAAAGACAAGTAAGACCTAGAATTATATTCCAGTCCTTCAGCCCTACAAATCAAGTAAGAATGGAAGCAAAAACCAGATGTCCACTCCCCTCTATTGAAATGTAATCTATATATGATCAACTATTGTGAAAGTGTTTTATTCCAATGTAACATAAAATAGCTTGGAAACATTTTTTGTCCTTGAATAAAGATATTTCTTATAAATCAGAAATGATAGGTTTTAGCCCTTTTTTTTTTGGAGACAGAGTTTCACTATGTAGTTCAGGCTGGCCTTGAATTCACTTTATAGCACAGGCTGGCCTTGACCTCACAGTAATCTTCCTGCCTCAGCCTCTCGAGTGCTGGCATTACAGGTGTGCACCACCACTTCCAGCTCAGCTTATTTTTAAAATTTTATTTCTGTATTCTTTTGAAATTAAACATTTCCTACAAAATGAGCTGGCTCAAACATGTAGCACTTCATTAGACAAGAAGTGAATCTAGCAAATGCTATCTGTTTCACAGGTTGTAGGCCATAAAGAAGGGCTGGATGTGATGGAGAGAGCTGATCCTTTATTCCTTTTAATTGGACTTCCTACTATTCCTGTCATGCTGATACTAGGCAAGATGATTCGCTGGGAGGACTATGTGCTTAGACTGTGGCGCAAATACTCAAATAAACTACAAATTTTGAACAGTATATTTCCAGGTAAGAACCTGATTATGGTTATAAAGTGCATACCAAATTAACGTTGTAGAAGAACCATAACATAGTTTTTTAGAAATGTTTGAAGAGGTTTTTCTAAACTATTCTGATGTATTAGTACTAATGCACTGTGGTTTTTGGTTTTTGTTTTGTTTTTTTGGTCTAGGGATTGGTTGTCCTGTTCCTCGAATTCCCGCTGAAGCTAATCCTTTAGCAGATCATGTCTCTGCTACCCGAATTTTGTGTGGAGCCCTTGTCTTTCCTACTATTGCAACAATAGTTGGTAAACTGATGTTCAGTAGTGTTAACTCTAATTTACAAAGGACAATCTTGGTAAGATGGCTTTAATAATACTTTTTTCAAGTGGCATATGAAAAAGAATGAGCTGTATTTGTTTTAAAAAGGGAGGGGAACTATATAAATACTCAGTTTGTGGCTCCTCTGCCTTAAACCTCTATTTGATCTCATAGTCAGCCACTAACTTGAGTGGAAATAAAAGGGGAGGAGCCATTACAGCAGTTCTGGATTTCTGGAACTCTTCTATGGGTAATTTCTCTTCTGGAATATACATGAATCATCACACCCATCCTTCTTGCCAACTGGATTATAGTAAAGAGTTTCTGCTGTGGGATCAGACTCTGCCTGGTTCAGATGCTAACACAAACAGCCTCACTGTGAAACAAATCAAATTTATTGACTTCTCTTTGCCTAGAGAATAGAAATAGGAATTGTAGTTACCTCAGTGAGGGCTAAATGAGATATGTACTAGCACAAAGTAAGCATGCATGTTGTTCAGTGTCATTTTTAGTATTACTATGATTTCTTCCCTCTGGTCACATAGTGCTATGGCATTCTTCTTTCTATATTAGAATGAATATAGAGCAAAGTGGGAGGAGGATTACTTAGGATAATAGGGAAGGTGTCTCTCTTCTCTGTTATGTGTAGAATCTACACCTCTCCCTATCTCATGCCCTAGTAGAAAAGAGAATATTTTACTTGCAGTCATCTGAATTAGTATCAAAGCCTATGTCTTTTGGGAGCTAAGTGAAATTCCTTTTATTATGTTTCTCTAAAATTGTGTTATAAGCCAGGTGTGGTGGCCCGCACCTGTAATCCCAGCACTCAGGAGGCTGAGGCAGGAGGATCATCCTGAGTTTGAGACCAGCTTGGGCTGCAAAGTAAGCTCAAGGCTGGCCTGAACTGCGTAGTGAGACCCTGTCTCAAAATAATAAAATAAAATTGTGTTATAAAAAGCTAACTTTCCTTTTATTTTAGGGTGGAATTGCTTTTGTTGCCATAAAAGGAGCATTTAAGGTTTACTTCAAACAGCAGCAATATTTACGTCAGGCACACCGCAAGATTCTAAATTATCCTGAGCAAGAAGAAGCATAGAACTGTGACTTCTGGTTCTTCTGCAGTCCTCTCATCCATATGAATCTGTTGTCTGGTTTTGAATCCATCATTAGTGCACTAGTGGAGACTTGTGATAAGCTGCTGCTCCTATATTTTTAACAAGTATAATAAAGCACTTAGGGCAGGGGGAATCCTCTCAGTAATCACGGAACCTAAGGATGTGATTTATTGTCATTGTTTTGTATGTACTTCTTTTAAGGCAGTCATCTAAACCATTATCTTAGCATGGTAAACTGGGTTCGTATTTTCTCCAGACAGCATTGTAAAGATCAGTCTATACAAATATAAAAATGCACATGCTATTTTATTCTAATGTCTCTTTTGTACATGTTCATGTTCAATGTTTTCTTAGAATCAGCAATTCAATGAAGGTACTATGAGGATTTTTCTCAATTGGCATAATTTGATTACATACTAAACAGAAACATGTTAATATGAGGAAATGTAAATTAAATTAGTTATGAATAAATAACAAGCCAAAAATGTGTGTAAACATTCAAATGATTATCTGAGAAATGAAATTTTGTTGTGTTTTCCATAACCCATGTGATGTTCTCCAAAATGTATAGGGTAAAAATTCACAGGGCTTCCAGATTAAATTTTCACTATTAAATTTTATTTATACAATGTTGACATAACATACTTTATAAAGTAATTTTGACTCATGTAGTCTTGATTACAGTGTGTGACTGTTTGTCTCATCAGGTACATTGATCTCTGGAATGAGGTTTTTAAGTCCATATTTCTGGAAACTAGAGCTGCCAGTTTATAGTAGTTTGAGCAGAGAATGATTTGAAAAAAAAAAAACAAAAACAAAATTATTTTACTTTGCACTTTCAGTTATTCCGATACTTGTTGATCACCTCCCTTCTATTTGCCCCAGTGCTCTGCTGAGTGCTAAGGATACAGTGGTGAACAGACAAGCGTGGTCCGAGCTCTCACAGAGTTTACAATCTGGTTTCATCAGATAGGAAACCAGTGGTGAGTAAACCAAGGCAAGGGCTGAAGCTCTTTGTTTTTATAGCAGGCAGTGAGGAGTTAATTATGAAAACACAGACGTGAGTAAATTTTGAGGTTATTTTTCGCTAAGTCAGTTTATTACAGAAAACCAGTACTAATGATTTTAACTTTTAATTGTCATGTTGAAAAGGTTAGCACCTTAATCATTGTTTAACTAGTTTAGTGTTTTTCAAAAGCAAGTATTTATTTTCAGCCATTCAGTAGAGTGGCCATCATGTTGTTCAGCAATCTAAATGATTTGGATATTTTCATTAATTAAAATTAAAAATTTTAAAGATAGTTCCAAAAACCCTATCTTTTTGTTCACAGTACTTAATGCATAACAGTAGTAAATATTTCCCCTTACTGATAAGTGGCCACTGCTCTTTATGAGTTTAGCAAATATAGACTAGGCTATGTTAGATTGCAATAATGTATATTAATTTTAGTAATTAATGGCTGATGTCTTTCTGTAGTATGAATGTCTTAATTTTGAGTTATGTGGTATTAATGTGAATGACTGTTGAACATTCAGAATTAGAATTTCTGGGAGGGGAGATTTGACTGAGTGAGCCTTATTGAAAATACTACTACTATTCTGAAAGGGGAATTTTAAATCTGTAATCATATATAAAGGTAACTTAGATTCTATAGCTGTAATTGTAATGTATATTGGCTTTGAGTTTTTCAATATGAAAAGATACATTAAGTAGACATTTCCTGCACAATTTTGTTATATAATAGAACAGTTCTTAGGCAGTCTTTTCTATATATTGTCCCTATCTACTACTTTAATGCCCAAGATGGGAAATAGCTGCTGGGGTTTACTGGCATTAAAGCCCATGAAGGCCAGGGAAGGAACAACTCTGATATTTTGGGGGCAAAGGGGAAGGGGTTTCTAGGGCTACAAGGAGGGAACTACAAGTGCCTGGGGACCAGAGTGACCTCTAGCTTGGAAATTGAATACTTTTAACAGCCTTAGCTCAAGAAACACCATGTGCCAGCTTTCTAGGAAGGTGGCCTGCCCCACACAAAGCAACAAAAGATCAGAGGCAGACTTAAAGTTGGATGGACCTGCATTCAAATCGTAATTCAGCTTTTATTGACTGTGTGACCATGGCCAAGTGACTTAACTATGATTTCTTAGCCATAGTTCTCTTCATCTCTGAAATGCAAAGTAATAATTAGAAGACTATTTCTAGGATTAACTCAGAAATTAAAGGAATGGGGGCATTTTAAGCCTCTAAAGAGCAGTACTTTTTTTTTACTTGCCAGTCTGTTTGTACTCTAGGGAAAGGGAATAAAGAGGTAGAAGAAAACTGTAGAGGACAAATTAAAGAGATGATGCCAGGCGTAATGGCAAATGCCTATAGTCCCAGCTCTCAGGCGGCTGAGGCAGGAAGATCACAATGAGTTCAAGGCCAACCTGAACCACATGAGACCCTGTTTCAAAAAACTAACAAATAAATAAATAAAAAAACAGAGAATGTAGGCTTTTGGGATGGATGGTATATTTTGTGTTTTCTAGTTTATTTTCATATTGCTTTTCTGTGTCATTTGTAGAATTTTTAATGTTTAAATCTCTTTTATAAAATCCAGTGACTAGAATTCTGTTCTTTGCAGATGTTACCTTATCTCCATTTTAGTGGCTGAAAATAATGTCCATCATTAGAGGATTATCAAATGAGTGTGCAGAACATACAGTTAGTGACTTAATTAGTCACTGCCTTGCTAATTCTGCTGTAATTTTTTTAAACGTCTTGTTTTTAATATAGCAGACTTTCTCAGTACTGGCTGGATTAGGTTGAATAAAGAATTTTTATGTTCTTTAGGTGTACTTTGTCTTTTGAACAAATTCCAATTCATTAGCTGCATGCCTATTGTTTTAAAATCAGTTACCAAAATTCTGGTGAGACTATTTTTTGTAAAAGTCTGAATTTCAAGAAAAAAGGTATAGTGGCATATGCCTATAATCCCAGCACTTGGGAGGCTAAGGCAGAAGGATCACCAGGAGTTCAAGGCCAGGGTCTTGGTGAGACCCTGCTTCATGAAACCAAACCAAAACAAAAACTATACAAGAATTGGTCTTAAGTGTATAATCACGTTAGCCTAAATCCTAAGTAGTTCTAATTAAAATATATCGTTCCTTTTCCACCATTAGCTTCTTGGGCTAAGTATGATTAGACAAGATCTAGGAGTAGTCTCATGCCATGGAATCTTAAAAGAGTAGTCAGATGGAGTCAGTTGCTCCCTCTGAGATGCTAAGAATTTACATTTCTGATAGAGCAGATTAGAACTTCTAGAAGTAGATCAAATAAGGGCCTATGGCCGTGATAGAGCCCAGCAGCAGAGCACCTGCCTGGCAAGCACAAGGTCCTGAGTGTGAGTCCCAGGACCCAGAAAAGGAAAAAAAAAAAAAAAAGAGCCCTTGCATCCATGAAGGTTGATTGTATTG